CTTGAACATGCTTGTGCAATGATATAGTTTTAAATTATAAAAGAAACCCTTCAAAAAATTGTATTAACAGGACCAAGGACCAATATGCACATGGTATTTCATTTGTATAAGGCAAAAAGTTCAAATCATATTAACTTATGATTGCCAATAGATCTTGGGTTTCCTTAAAACAATTATATAAAACTGTCTGCAAATGTCAATAAAACTGATTTTATAAGAAATTGTAGATTCTTCTGTTGCTCTGTAGGCGACCATTTTGGTCACACAAGGAAGTCCAAACTTATATCTTAGTTTGAACAACGTCATCTTGATTTTACATTGCTCAAGATACATAATCGACACATAGGCTTTAAAAAAAAATAAGTAAAGAAAGTAACTAGTGATGGACCGCGCAGACATAGGAACAGTCTAGACTTGCCTCTTACTGACGTTTTCCAAACGAATATAGAAGTTAGATCTACATTCTTCATTTTAGACTTGAAATAAATTTGTTTGTGGGTAAGAGCGAATGAGTAAGCATGAACAATAATTTTACCCTTCTCGGGACACGCTACCATACCACAGCATCTTACTAGCAGAGCTCAAGGTCATTGACGTAATTGTAATGAACTAAATTTAGACTTCCACCCCCCAATGTCACCAATGGGCCCTAAAGGTTGGTATGTAACAATTCATGACGGTCGAACAATGGCCTTTAAAATACGCTTTTAATTTGATTCCTAGCGTTTACCGTATCTTAGAAAAAGTTAGTTTACAATAATTACAAAAACTTGTTGGGCGAAAGAAAAATTCTAAAAAGCTACAAATTAATTTATAATATATGTATCTATATCGTATTAAAGTGTGTTAAAGGTTTAGCGTTTGGTTTACAATGTAAAAATTTTCAAAGTCACAAGATGGTTTCTGAAACTCTTTATACAACTCTCCTTTATAAAAATTAAAAAAAAATATTATCCAAGAAATTGAGCTCTTTAGCCACAAAATCCACCGTTTTTTTACTTACCTGACGAAGAAATAAAAACAGTAGCAGCCGACGAACTTTGTTATGTCATATTTAAAAACTCATTTAAAAGTACCAACTTTATTTCAAGATTTAAAATAGAAAATATAAACTTTTGAGCTTTTAATTAGAACCAATAGTGTCCCAGACTAATTGACATCTTTCACACGAAGTGTCAACAAATTACCTTTAGTCTAAATGTCAAGTTATTTTGAAGCTGGACATTGAGTTTTGGTGCCGTTTTCATTGGCATCTACCACTTCTAACCTGCACTAAGATGGCGGACCTGGCTTCAACTGGTTGTATGTTAGTTATATAGATGTGCTCCATCTATTGGTCTTATGTGATCGTTGATTTAAACTAACGGAATTCTGATGAAAATTTGATCATGAATTATTAGCAGTTTTGCAGGATGATTAACAATAGTTTTTTTTTTTTTTTATTTAAATTGCTTGTTAGTTGGCAACAAATCTTAGAGATGTGTATACATTTTTTAGGACAAAATTGAATTAGCAGATGCCATGGTAAAGAAGGGTACTAGAAAAAGTTACTGTCGCCTCATCCAATTTTTACAGCAGTCAGCTGTTGACATGCTAGGCGAGCAACCGCGACAGTGAGGACGGGGAACAGCTGATTTCATGTTCCTAGTTGGCAAATTGTCTGCTAGCTACTAACGTACACATGCATAAGCCATCAGCGGTAGCACCAGTAGCCTCAATGAATATATAAACACTTGTGTTAATGTTTAAATACAGTAGTCAATGTTATTACTGAATTTGATACTATACATATTGTTACTAATATATGAAATGGAGAAAAACGTTACCTTAAAAATACAAAATTTCCCAATTTATATCCAGGCCTTTTTAAATAGCTTAGAAAACAAATAATTTAGTATATCAAAGTGTTTTTGTACGGTTATTGGTAACAGGACAAATTCAAAAATTGTAAATTTAAAATTCCCTTGTTATTCATATAAAGAATATTGTAAAATGTTGTAGTTTGCTTGTTTATAGATATTTTTTGATCAAACTTGGCAAATTTATTCAAACAATTACAAAACTATTTGGATCATGAACGGTACTCTAGTTTTCCCAAGGTAGGACACGTGAATTGGAATTTTTGCGTTACAGGCACAATGACAGTAAGAATCAAACAAACGTACAGATATATACACAAGACTCGTTTCGGCTATCTTATTATATACAACGTAGAAATAACCAAACACTTCATGAGTCTACGCAAAGTGCAGACAAAACAGTAAAGACTTTATAATCTTATAACTAACTATCTGCCCATGCTTCGCAACGGGGTGAGAATCTTTGGGTCTCTAATTCCACCGTAAAAAAATAGTATATTTCGTACCTAGGGCCTAAAGTGAGGTTTTGCCGACTCGATATCGGGTTTTAGTTTTAAGTTCGGGACGAAGTCGAGAACGTGAAACGATCGAGAGCTGCAAACCCATTTTGGCTCGTGGTACGAGCGGTTTTTTTACCCAAGTATGTTTTGCAATATAACGTCCCTCTTATTTATGTGAAATATTTTGAGGAATCAGCAAAATCAAAAATAACAATAAATAGTTGTCTAGGCAGCTGTGACAAAAAACAAGTCTATTGCAATGCCATGGATACAGCTTGTGCATTTAATATACATTAATGTTTTAAGTAAATAGGCGAACAAGTGATTTTGCGGCCCTAGGGATGTAAACCCCTGCTCGGTCCCCATATGACGATGACAGCTGGCATGGCCGGCAAAACGTAACTTTCAGCCACCAATATAAACCAGCTAAATGTATGTAAAACAGCTAAAAACATCATAGTGAGGTGAAAAATTCGTTACGCATACTTTTACATTACCATGAATTAATTATATGCATACAGAAAAAACGGAGTCATACTTATTGCGTATTTTAATGTAAACTAGTGGCTTGTAGGGACATAGTCCCTAAAAAGCTACGGAAAAGGAATTATTGTTGGAATATTTAAACAAACTCAGAATCAAATTATCTATATGTCAGGATAGGCCTAGATATCCCACTACAACATATCTTTTGTGCAAAAAAAAAACAAAACAGTTTGTTGTTTGTCTTTGTTTGCTTTTGTTGATAACGTTATGTTCAATAAAGAATTTGAATGATTCCTGAGTTTAACTGCTAAAGGCAGCAAACATAAACATGTTTATGAATAAATATTGGTTTATTAAGGTAGCTTTGGTTTTTTGGTTAATGCTGATAACAAGGCTTCCCCGATCGAAATACAGTATTGGAAATTGTCTTCGTCAAATAAGAAAAGGCAAAAAAATGGTGTGTTGAGATACCCTACCCAGTTATTATTTCTAAGTCTATGCTCATTTTGTAAAGGTTTAACAAAATTATTCTTAAGTAAAGGCATCCCATTGACAGAACTTGGACCTAAATTTGTTTGTGATCAACATTAAAAAACCGCTATTAGCCTAGTGTAAGTATGTGGTGTTAATCCTCCTAAAGGTGCGATTGATTTACATATTCTACCAAAAAAGGGCCTAGTCAACGTCTAATTACCAACTTTTTTGCGGCTAGTTAGGGTTCCATTACCCAGTTATCGAAACTAATCACGACATAAATATTTTTGGTTCGTTTAAATACCTGTACGAACCTACTTCATCTCTATTCCCAAATTGTTTTCTAAGAGTAACCGTTGAGGTTATTCCACTTCATACAAAATATTGATTAAACACTACAATAAATCTCAAATATAAATGTTAGTAAATTAAAAAAAAATTGGAATAAATCTTTTACATATGTTTTGAAATAAAAACAAAGAAGATCTTCTTTTAATCTTGAATCGTTTCTTAAATCTTGAAAACAATTTATTTCAACTTTGACATAACTAAAAAGTCTTGATTATTAAAGGTAACGTTATCCCTTTATATAGTTGGTTTTATATAGTATACATTACATTGCAGAATTGACTGGCAAATGAGTAATCCAAATGTAAGCTTACTTGCTAATGATAAAATCACGATCAGCTGGATTGAAGTAAACAAAAATCAGCAGTAAATGCCTTCTAATGCTATTCTTATGGAGAACATTGTACGTTATATCTAATTTTGCGTTAAGATTTTGGGAATTTCACTATTTTTCCCGCCGTCACGGGATAAAGACCTTTAATTTGAGCCCTCTCACGTCGTTCTACGACTTCCCAGTCGCCCACAATTTTGACGCAAAGAATCGGCTTACGTAATTAATATATAGATTCCCATGAAACTGATAATTTACCCAGCACATTAAGGCCTTTATTCCAAGTATCTCAGTTCGTAAACCATGCATACAATGTGACGATAAAATATCAACAAAATAGCATATAGTTTTATGTAATCCTCACGACATTTCATTTGGTCCATTGACTTTAAATCCAATAATTGTAAAAATTATTGGAGCTTTGAAAAAAACTTCATATAAAATCCTTACACTAATAAAAGACGACGTCATGAGCGCGGGAAATGAGCTACAGCGGCTAGGGCATAGCCACATGAATACAGAACGGAATGAAGGAACTAGAACGGAGAACTGGCAACAGCGCACGCGAGAAGTAGGGGGGGCGCACACACCGCTCAAGCACTACAACGCATTAGTGGCATCCTGTCCACACACTGTTGATATATACCGATTTGTGGCATGGTGCCACAATTTAAAAACTGGAATGTTAGATGTTAAAATGGAGTGTTCATTAAAAATATCGATGCAGACATGTTTCTACTACCTTCCTTCATCCACTGGTGGCCGCAGGTTGAAAGATGCCACAATTAGGTGTTTGCGAGTATTCGGTAAAACCCCGTAGGTGTGTGTGTGTGTGTGTGTTTACCAAAAACTGGGTTTCAATCATTTGGATTTAGTGTTTGCAATACGAGGGAAAACTAAAAAAAAATCTAAAGATAAACAACTGTATAATCTAATGATTTGAAAGGGTATGACTTTGTTTAATAGTATATCAAAATATATAAGAAAGATAGATCGACTCACCCTTGTCTCTTAGTCCTGATAAATCCATGCTTAGAGGTTGTTGAGTTCGGTTCAGCTACCACTGATAAAAATCACACATAAACAAAAGAGATAGTTAAGTGTTTAATTATATGTTTGAAACAGTAAACACGTTTAAACTGAATGCATTGTGATGTAGATGGAAAGAACAATATAATCCGTAATAATATCAAAGATTGACATGTTTGCTGTGCCACAGTAATGCTAGACTATTTTTGATATAACTTCTTTAGAGTGTAATATTTACCTGAAAACATTTTTATCTATACCTAACTATTTTTGAACTGACAAATTAAAACTATCCACTAAGAGGAGAAAAACATCGATCTGGAAATACCTTTAGTTTAGCCATGAGGAAATAAACACAACTAACAAATCTAGTATAGTACGATAATAACATTTATAGGGCCATTTTAAAACTATCACTGTAACTATTGTAGTAAAATGTGGTAACATTGACACAACAACCTACCTAATACTAAACAGAAAATCGGATAAATCGATCGCAACATTGTTCACAACGTCAAGACTCTCTGAACGTCGCGAAGTTTACGATTATACTGAGATTCCCGAGCAGGAAAACCAAGACATGAGAGCGAAGACCTTGTTTTTGCCTTTGAACTCTATCAGACTGGTTCTTCCCAGCTGATAATAACGATGGTAATGTGTTCTGATTAGTCACAGACGACAGTATTGACCATAAGATTTAGTATCTGAGTTTATGATAACAATGTGTTCCTAACCTACTTATTGAGTGATACCATTGACTATACACAGAATGGACCTAAATTTGACGCCAAGAAAATAGAAGTTCAGGACCATCTCACTAGAGGGTACTAGTGTATTAGGTTAAATATAAAATCAATGCAGTATCATAGCAAACAGCTGATTGATTTATTACTTGAAACAAAATATTGTCATTAATTGACTATCTCAACAGATTCCACAAGGTTTTTTGGTTTCAATGTTTTACATTACAAGAGAAGTCTATTCTGTGTATAGTCAATGTTAATTATGAACACCAACAAAATGGGATATCAGCTATTATTATGGTAAAGGTAATTGGATTATGGAATAGTTTAACCAACCAACAAGCATTTGAAGTAATATAATCTGAATTTACAATTAAACGTGTGTAATTCCCAATGGTGGTTGATGCTTCCATATCAAGTATAAATTTACATGATATTGCTTTGTTGATTAGCATGCGCGGAATCAAATAACTGTGCGATGCTTTGTATAATTAGCAATAACTTAATCAACGACCGTATAATGGATATAACATAATTACCGGGACGTGTGACTAATATTACGCATCAAGGTTTTTAATGAGATACATCATATAAGTGATTAGATATACGATACATTCGTTCATCATTATTTACTTTTAGTGAATTCTACGAAACAACGAAGTACAAATTAATAGCTTCTTAGTAAATATATAAACGCACATCAATACTATGGCAGATATTTGAGGGAGCGAGTGGTTAGAGCGTGGGACTTCGGTTCCAGAGGTCCCGGGTTCAAATCCCGCTAAATCACCAATGGATTTTTTCTATGTGATAATGCCGCATTCCCTAGGTCTAGCCTGAAGTAATGTGAAAAACAATTCCGAACTCGTGCCTAGAGTCCTAGGACAAAAAAGGCAGATATTCAACCTTAGACAAAAATTCAAGCCTTCACACTTGTCTTTGTAAACTTCTAAAACAGCATATTTCTTACAAGTCGAACGATTTGAGCTTTTACAGAACAGATGACCACACAATTTCCAAAATTGTCTGGTAAACGTACAGACTTAATTTTTTTCACTTACGATGCAAGAACACAACTTCTTAAATTGTTCACCCGCCTTTTAAATAGTATTCCCACAAAGAAGAAACAGCACCGTAACAAGGAACATTGAAATTGTTTCAAAATAACTACTGTTTCAGTCGCAGACTGACTATTGAAAAAAAAACGCCGCAAGTATTATCAAGAGCGCATGTGAGGGATATTAGATTTTCCCCGTTGAAACATGAGAACCAAAGGAGTGGAATGAAAGCTCTTTATTGTCTTCTGTCACATTTTCATGGTTTTATTGTGAAATTATTATGAGCTTTTCGCACATTTAAGAACAAGTTCCAGGGGACCGAGCCATTGCGGTATGGCTTATTTTGATTATAAGGGCAATATAAGGGAAATTCACGTTTTATTTACAACTAATTTTGGGTTTTATTTTTAAATTTCAAAGGAATTTCAATTTAGTATGGTTTAAATTAAAACCTTGCAATTGGCAATTGTTATGGTAACTTTAAAACAGAATGAATCACTTTTTTAAATATACTCTTAAAAAAAGTGAAACATGAGACATCAACACGAAACACTCATCAATACTTGCTCTCTATAACAATATACGTGTGTAATTTTATTTACGCTACTTAAAGTCAATGCTAAAATGTTATAATAGTTGTTAATAATAATCTGTCTTTTGATTAATGTCGTTTTGACAGTTGGTAAATTAATAACTGCTGATTGAAAATGCGAGTATGAATTCCAATTTATATAAAATAAATATATTTTTCCTACAGATACCTAACAATGTACATGTTCTCTCACTGATTTGAGAAAGCAAAGTGGTCAATTCGCTCATCAGTGAGACAATGTTAACATTGTCTCACTCGCTCCAGATTTGCAACGTGAAGGCCTACCATCACAGCAGCACTGGCTGTAAATCAGCTGGTCAGCTGTTGTACTGTTGTATCATTAAATGTCATATTAAAAGTTCACTTCTGTGTAAAAATATGTCACGTTTCTTTACCAATTTATTTGTTTTATGGTAACTGTAGGAAAAATATAATGTGCAACTCGAGTGCAAAGTGCAATTGCTCACTAGTTGCACAAATAACCATTTAAATATTTATTCCACTTCCAAATCAAAGTTTGCTAACAATAAATTGCCTCAGTACTTCAGGGATTACGTCGATTACGTTAGGGTGGGAGAGAGCTAAGTTAAATAATCGGTATTTGAAAAAAAAACTAATATAACTTTATACATCTATGGTGATAATATTTATCCCCACTGTTCTGTTCTGTCAGCGTGTCATAATCTGTTTGCTGGCTGGAGGTAATTTAACGTGAACTTCCTCCACCTGAAACTACATTGTGTTATGAGCAGAGCTCGACGTTACAACTTTTCCCACTTCATGTAGTGCTTACATTATTTTACATGATGTTTTTTACTTTTATTGGTATATTTCAACATGGTTTTGAACTCGAGTAATTTTTTCAATCCCTAAATCACCAGAATGATCAATGTTAGCTAACATTAATGAACAATTGAAATTGAATTATCACGATATTGTTGATAAATTTGATATTTTTAGTATATTTTCTTAAACCATCTGTTAGGGATTCCTGTTGGCATAAACGTATGAAGTATCTAAGATTTTTCATGGAACTATTCAACTATTTACCTGACCCGACAATATACAGGAGGTTAAGAACAATATTTTTCATTATGCATTTCACTCATCTTCTAACAGTAACGTTCATTTACAAACAAAAGCTAGGTTAGGAAAATTCTTCAAAGCATAACAATAATTAATTTATTAATTAAATTATAATTAAATTATAAATAGTCAAAGGCAAGACAACGTCTGCCGGGTTCAGCTAGTACAGATTATAATATTAGTGTACGACGGTGGTTTGCTTAGAACATATCGAAGCAATCTAAAATATGGCTACGAGATTGAATATAATTAGGCGTATTGCAATTGACTTGCCTAACCCAATTAATTATCACGGATGTACAAAGCAGTTTCATGTCATGTTGTCAATATAGGCAAAAAATATTGACTGTTTAATTGTCATTTGAATTATGATCATTATAATAATCGTGAATCTAATGTGCGTCTAAACTTTAGTAAATTCGATTTAGAAAATGTCTTCATATAGATTTAAACAAAAGGATAAAAGACATTGAGAAATTTTAATATCATATAAAGTAACTTAACTAATAATGGACAAACAAATTCCAGGCATGCAATTAATTGTCTGGGTAGCCGAGTGGTTATAGTGCTCGCCTTCAAATCGGAAGTTCGCTGGTTCGAATTCAAGCGAGATCGTTTCCAGACCCAGATGCTATTTGTCATTGGGCTATAAATGATGCTATCTAACAAAAAGGTCGACGTTAGGTAGTAACAGGACCAGGGTTTGGACCGTTCCCTTTCAAAGCGTAAAAAATGCCACTGACGTAAAAACACACAAAATAAATGCAGTTATTAATTGTAAATTGATATTATATTAGATTGAAATACCAACTATATCACTTCATAGGTTTTGAGCACGTGGATACTGACTGAATCGTATGGAAAGAGTGGTTTTAGCAAGAAAAAAGCCTATCCTGAGTAGCCTATATGTTATTTCTTTATAATATACAGTAGAACCTTGATAACAAGACTCTCAAGGGGATTATTAAATGAGACTATATAGTGATCAAGGTTGACTCCTTCTTGAGGTTTGCAATAACATGTGATTTGGGGTCAAATAAATTCAAGGTGATTTGAAAATGACACTTGTTATCAAGTGTGGCTTGTTATCGAGGATCTTCTAATCAAGGTTCCACTGTACAACGATTTCTGTACTTCTGTATCAAAACAAAAACGTGTAAGACTGTTAAAATATATTCTTAGTAATGGACATAACATTAAAATAAAACATACAACCACTGGAATAGTCGGATCAAGCTGTAAAGAAGCATTATTAAAACAAATTCACATTGGAACGTTTTCAAAAATATTTGTAACGTTGAGATGTTATGTGTATTTTCAAAATTAGTTCAAAAACGTAAAAAAAATATCTCACATGTCTATATTAATTTGTTAATATTGGATCAATGATTTAAAAGATACATTTCGTGTTACACATAAAATAACCTCACAGAAATAATGAAAAACATTTATTGCTATGTTCAATACATTTAATAAATAACGTTGTCATATTTTATAAGTTATTTCAACATTAACACTATTCCAAATTTTAATAACGATTGGGGATTTCCTCTTCGCAGAAATACCGCTTCTTCTCAGGGCAGTTGCCGTCGTTCCACTGATACGGTTTGCCAAGAGGTCGGTTGCTCTCTTCTGGCATGGCTTCCACACAGTTCTCACTCCACACTCTTGTTAGGCTTGAAATGTTAGGCTCTCCGGGCAACCAATCAGGCAGCTCCAGCTCAGTTCCATCAATCCACTTAAACTTTCTGTCTTTAGACGATAAACCAATCCACAGTGGCCAGTAGTAAGTGCAGCCTGGAACAAATTGCAGGGATAGACCATGATTGTAGTATAACGTTTATCATGGAACTAAATAGGTACGGAGGTAAAGTTTTATGAGTGCATTTTGGATCAAAACTCGTTTTTTGGCTAGACTGTGAAAGAAGAGTCCACCATACGTTCCTATTTTGTTCGATTCGCTTAAATTCAATATACATTTTCATCGCCTTAATCTACCAAGTCTATTTGTCTACCTGAAATCGTTTCTAATGATTGTTAAATCGATTGTTTACCGATAT